TACCAGGGGATACCAGACACATGTTCTGTGGCTTGGGAAAAATGCAAAAGGCTCCATTTATGATGGTGACATATTTTGCTGAAGATGATTTAATCCCAGAGGAACAGAACCTGGCTATAAAGAGCACAGAACCCGAAACCAGGCAGACTGTGTTCAAATCCCAGCTCTAGGACCTACTGGCCAGTGACCCCAGGCAAGTCACGTAACCTACCTCCAACTGAAAAATGGGAACAGCAGAAGCCCTTACCCATAAACTGCTTTGAGAATTAAGTACTTCACACAGAGTTCACTAAACAGCAACCATGGCTATTATTATCATTACACTGACCTTTGAACAAAGAGGAAAAAACAAATGCCGTCATAGCTTCCCCATCTATACACACAGGGAGGGGACGCTTGCTGTGGCTCTACATCTGGGCCTCAAGTTCAAGTCAAACTGTCACCATGCTGGGAAGCCACAAACCAGGGAAATAAAATGGAAAGAATGGTCCTTTCCATCAAGAAGCAGGGAAGCCAGAGCCATGTTCAAATGAAGCATTGAAAGATATTAAAGTCGGAGCAACTAGGACCACCCGCCAGCCCCTCAAGGAGAGGTGTGACAGAAAGTTACATGGGCTCCAGAAACCAGTCTTCAGCCCCAGAAACCAGGAAAAGGAAACTGTGAGGAACCACTTTAATTCAGCAGTAATTTCACAAATGGGACACGGTGGTGATGATGATGATGGCGCCACCATTGGTTGGGCATCTAATATGCGTCACGCACCAGGCAAAGCTGCACATCCTCCCAGGAGGTATTTTTTGCCCATTTCATAGATGAGAAAATCAAGGCTCAGACAGGGGAAGCAACATGTCTGAAGCACCACAGCTGGGGAGAGAAGAGTCAGGGTGCTGTGTGACCCCAAGGCTATGCTCTGAGATGCACGGTTTCACATTATTATTTTTTTTTTTTTTTAAAGATTTTATTTATTTTATTTTTTCCCCCCAAAGCCCCAGTGGATAGTTGTGTGTCGTAGCTGCACATCCTTCTAGTTGCTGCATGTGGGACTCGGCCTCAGGATGAACGGAGAAGTGGTGCCTCGATGCGCACCCGGGATCCGAACCCGGGCCGCCAGCATCGCAGCGCGCGCACTTAACCACCAAGCCACAGGGCCGGCCCTGGTTTCACATTATTAACCTTGGTTCCTCCACATCTGGCCCAGGGCCTGGCACGAAGCAGGTGCTCAGTAACTGTTTGCTGAGTGAATAAAGGAACACAGGAAAGTGCAATGCTGCGTGCCCCTCGGGTCGCAAGTATCTCTCCAGAGAACAAAGCACCCTCCAAGCCCAGGAGAGCACGCGGGCATCCACGGGGCATTCACTCACTGACGACGTGCTGCCTATGTGGCCAGGTGCTGTGCCGGACAGGCATCGGAGCAAAAGCTGTGGGCCCAGGACGTGGAGAGGCACTCACTCAACTATGGGTACAGCCACAGCAGCCAGAAGAGTGGCAGGTCCAGGCAGCACCGTGCCATATTTTCCACCATAATCGCCATCAATTTTCTTTCAGCAGCAGCTCACGCAGTGGGAGCAGCCAGTTTCTCCAAGGCTGCACCAATTAATTCTTCAAGAGCCTTAATGGCCTTTAAACTCAGTATGATTTGCTTTTGAGGACAAATGATAAATCACACTCAACAGCCTTTGAGCATCCTCCCCCACCACACAAGCACACACACTTCCACAGGCGACCTGGGCCACCTCTGTGGAACTCTCCCCAGGCCCCTGGCTGGGTCCATGACCATCAGAGCTGACTGTCATCTTGCCTCTGTGCTTACTGGGCAGATATTCCATGCGTCATCATAATTCAGAGGAAATGTACAAAAGAGGAAGGAAGAAAATCCAAGGGGCCACTAGCAGAGGGAACAGCAGAGTGCTGACTTGGATGATCGCAGCGTTTGACTGGAGGCCCGCGGCTGGCCAGCTGTGCAAGGGCTCTTAGCCACCCACATTCTCAGGCACCTCTGTGAAGCAGTATTCCCTTTCACGGAGGGAGAAACTGAGGCTCAGAGGGATATGGTAACTTTCGTAAACTCACAAAGCTGAGCTGCGATTTGAAACAAAGTCTGTTTGCCTCCTCAAGCCCTTCTTTCCTGATGCCCTAAGCTGCCCTGGACTCACAGATTCTCCTGGCAAACCATGATTCCATGTTCCGCAGAGTCCAGCCAGATGACACGCACACACATGCATACACACACAGATATACACTGAGCTCCAGTAGCCTGGGGAGCCCTGTCCAATCCCTTCCAGAGACATCTATTTGCCCAGTCACCACAATGCTTGACTGTGCAGCTGTCAGTCCTGTCCATGTTTTTGAACTGAAGCTGTGTAAATATTAGCACAACTAGTTCATAGTCCGACTTCCTTGAGCAAAAGCCTGACAATCCCGGCAGGGCTGGCAGGCCCTCCAGGGGCCCTCCATCAGAACATCTGGGTTCTACTCCCACCTCCCCTTATAATATTCTGGTCAAGTCACTGAATTCCCTGCCTCAAGATCCCCATCCAGAAAGAGAGAGAGAGAACCGGGCTGTTGAGACTCAAACAGCACAGCATCAAGGCACCTCAATGTGAGGTGCCACGTGCGCTGTCAGAGAGAAGCCCGTGCTCGCAGGGTGGCGTGGCTGTGCCGGGAGAGGTTGTCTTGGACCTGTTACAGACTGGGGGTCTCCGGAGGTCTCTGGAGCATGCTGGATCCTTTTTGGGTTTAGAGAGAGCGAGATGGCCAACTGAAAGGCCTGGGGCGGGGGCTGAGGGATTGGGGTAGGCAAGCTGGCCAGCCCAAGGAGCACCTGGCTAAGCCTCTGTAGGCCAGGGGCTGAGCTGATTCTCTCCTCCCCCCAGCCCCCAAGGCTTCCTTTGGAACCACATACCAGGCACTCTGGAGCAAATGTGACCCGCCGGATCTGAGGCCGAAGGGTGAACTCAGGCTCTGCCTGAGCGGGGCGTCTCAATCTCCAGGACACCTGGCCCATGCTCTGACACCGGGCGAGCAGCTGTTTATTACCAACGCTGACCAGGGAGGGACTCAAGCAGGCTCCCCTGCAGCTGGAAGATTTAGACTGGATACATGGAGGGACTTCCAATGAGAAGGGATGAAGGACAGAGAAATACGCAAAAAAGGTGGCCATGGACATCCCAACTGAAAGGGTGATACAGGAGAGATCCTAATGCAGGGACAGAGAAACCCCTCAGGCCCTCTCAGCTGAGGGTGGGGGAGCAGGTGCAGCCAGCAGAGGGCATGCCGGCTACTGTGTCCCCACCAGGACACAGGAGGGGTGGGACACAGCAGGACACCTGCTGACCCCAGGAGGACACAGACTCTGAATTTTGCTCACTGCTATGTCCCCAGTGCCTAAAGCAGGGACTGTACACAGCAGGCACTTAATAAACCACAGAACCTGGGTGCTGACAAGACTTAGTGCACAACCTCAGTTTGCTCTCCTGCGATATGGGGGTGCTGATACCACAGGACAGGAATGCAAACACAGTACTGGGTGGGACAGCTGCGTAAGGCAGCAGCACGTGTGGGATATGAATATCGCGATCCCTATTGTCAGACTGATGCCGCCGACTGCAGACAGCTGGCCTTGCAGCTGTAGCTTGCCCAGCCTCCACCCCAGACGCAAGAAGCCACGGGTCCCTGGGAACCACAGCCACACAACCTCACACGGGGCCTCAGGCCCAGAGTCCCAGGCCCCTGCGGTGAGGAGGGGGCAGAGAGAAACATATGTGTATTCTCAGTGTAACCGCCAGACACATGCTGCAGGATTTTTGAACTCAAAGATCAAAGGGCTGCAGGTGGGCTTCCCCCCCAGGGGGCCTGACACAAGCCAAGTCAGCTTGTCAACAAATCCCCTCCATACCACAGCCCTGCTCCTCCAAGGGGCCTGCAGCCAGCTCAGGGGGCAGCTGTGCTGACAAGCGGAGTGAGGAAATCGATATTCTCAGCACATACACACACTCTTTTTCCCTCTCGCCATAAATATGGGCCCTTGGATGCTCAGACAGTCGCCCACAGGCCCAGAAGCAGAAAAGACTGGGTCCTCCGACACACGCTCATTGCCCCCAGACTCCATCCCTGACCACAACAGGCGCACATAAACACACACCTCCAACCCCACCAGCAGCCTCCTCACAGCTGCACTCTCACATCAGCAGCCACCCAGAACTCAACCTCCCTCGGCTCCAGGCGCCCCAGTGCACTCCCAGGGGTCCTGCCGGGAGCACATGGCTGGACCACCTGCGCACAGCCCATGAACGGGCCTACGTCCTGGAACACACACACATACTCGCATACACATACTCGCCGGAGTCTCCTTGACACAGGCCTAGAGTCTCACATAAGCAGGCCTGCAGGAGGACTCCCTGGCAGCTTCTGGCCCGCCTGCAACCAGACACAAGCACAGCCACCGCTGGCCACACACCGTCTCACCAACTCCCATCCACTTGCTCTCCGGACTCCCACCAGATACCAACTCCCATCAGTTTCTCCTCCGTAAACTCAATCACACACAAGCTCCCATCTCAAGTCACTTGCCAGAGTGAACACACACTCCTGTCCTGCCATTTCTTATTCTCACACACACAAACTCAGGTCCTGTGTCTGGGTCACACACAGATACTAATACAGACACGCTCCACACTCCACCCTGTCAGCCTTCCTCCCGCCTCACACCCAGGCGCCCACCCTGACAGCCTCACGCTCTCTTGCACACCCATTCCCGCAGCCTCTCTCTGGCACACACTTACACTTACATCCCGGCAGTCTCTAACAAACCATCCCACAACAGAACACAGCACAGTGCATGTCACTGTGCAGTGGCTGGGGTGCTGCTGGCCCCGCGCCCCACCCGGGCCCCGCCCCGCCGGCCGGTCGCGGGGCAGCCCCTCGCCACTGCCCTCCGGCCGGAGCCCTCGCGCCCACCACCCCGAGCCCACGCCCGGCCTCGCGCCGCCCGGGCCCTTACCCGCTGTCAAGCTCCAGCTCCAGCAGGGACTGGGTCCGCTCCGAGTTGCAGTGCAGGCACCACATGGCGGCCGCGGCGGGAGCTGACGGGGTCGGGCGCCCGGGACCCAGGCCCAGCCGAGGGCCGCCGACTCCCGCCAGCGACGGCCGGAGCCGGGGCCGACACCCGACCACCCCTAGACCTGACTACCCGCCACGCGACCACCCTGGGTGGCCCAGCCCAGTGCCCGGCGGTTCCCGCCGCTCCTGACCCCAAGTCCGAGCCCCACGCCAGGCGAGCCCGCCCCTCCGCGCCGCCGCCCGCCTGGCGCAGCGCGAAGCCGGGCCGGAGGAATGTGCCCCGGGAGGGGGCGGGGCCGAAGCCGGGCAGCGCTCAGGGGGCGGGGCTGCGCGGAGCAACGTGGGGAAACGCAGGGGGCGGGGCTGCGTGGAGCAGCGGGAGGAGAGGCGCAGGGGGAGGGGCAGAAAGGGCAGGGCTGCGCGCAGAGGCCGGGGCTGCGCGCGGGGGGCGGGACTGTGCGGAGCCGCGGGAGGAGGGGCGCAGGGGGCGGGGCATAAAGGGCGGGGCTGAGCGCAGGGGCGGGGCGAGCAGAGCCGTGGGAGGAGGGGTGCAGGGGGAGGGACAAGAAAGGGCGGGGCTGCGCGCAGGGGCGGGGCAAGCAGAGCCTTGGGGAGCGAGCGCACAGGCGGGATTCTGTGGCTACGGCATCCCCTGTCCCAGCAAACTAGGCCTTTTTCTGGGAGGATCGCGCACTCCCTCCAACGCAGAGCCCCGCAACATCCATATCTTCCTCCCCAACGTGTAAGCACAACAAATACAGAAACTCAAACCAGCCAACTTAGCCTACTCTGCTGACAGCGCCAACCTCTGCCAATCCTGACTTTGGCCTCAGTTTATAAAAGGGGGCCTTTGCTCTCCTGAACGGTGTGGTTCTGGGGCTCTGATGCCTCTGACCCAGAGAAAGGAATGGGTCCCATCCTGAGGCTGGGGACACCCTTTGACTTTTTGGTGAAGATCTGACAGAAGCGGCTTCCTTCTCCCCAAGCCCACCCAACCCCCTGCCCTTCCCTCACCCAGAGACCACTCTCAGACCACCACGGGAGGCTTAAAGTAATACTAATTAGCATTTTTGAACTCTTTACTGATATTTGGTCCTCCAGACAACATTGTGATGTAGGTGGAGTTATTACTGGCCCCATTTTCCAGAAGAGGAAACTGAAGCTCAGCTTAACTGGGTTAACTCTAAGAGGCTTTCCCTCACCGTCTCCTCTCCCAGGCTGCTCAGCTCTCCCTACTATAAGCAATCATGGCTTATTGTTCTATATTTGCATATTTTCTTGTTTATTATCTGTCCTTGGGCTTCATGAAGGCAGCCACAGTGCCCAGCACACACATTGTGGAATGCCCAATGTGGGTGGGAAACATCAAGCAGACACAGATACAATCAAAACCCTACCTGTCCTGGGCCACCTCACCTTCAAGTCCATCTCCTGGAGGGCCAGGCAGCCCGTAGGTCTGCAGGAGTCAGGAAGCTATAGGAAGCCACTAATGCAGGGGCATTGTCTTGTGCCCTTTTGAATCTTTCATTTGGAGTGGGTGGTGCAAAGGGCCTGATGAGTGTTATTTCCAGATGGGGAAACTGGGGTCGAGTTGGGCCCAGTGAAGGAAGAAGGCTGGGCTGGCCAGCTTGCAGCAGAGGAAAGGGCAGTCCCTAGAGCCAGTTTAGTGCATCAGGCAAGAGGCTTAGCAGGAATCCAGTGCCCCTCACTGCCCTTCTCCACATTCCTCCTCTTAAGCTTCTGATGTTTTCTTTGCTACATTAAAAATAAATAAAGACACAGAATGGGAGAAAATATTTACAAATCATAGATCTCATAAGGGTCTAGTATCCATACTACATAAAAAACTCTTACAACTCAACAATAGCAAATAACCCAATTGAAAAATGGGCAAAAGACAGAAATAAAACCACACATATATGGACAGCTAATTTTCGACAAAGGAGCTAAGAACATACAACAGAAAAAGGAAAGTCTCTTCAATAAATGGTGTTGGGAAAACTGGATAGCCACATGCAAAAGAATGAAAGTGGACCATCTGCTATTGCCGTTCACAAAAATTAACTCAAAATGGATCAAAGACCTGAAGGTGAGACCTGAAACTATAAAACT